CGGGGGCTGGAAGCATCAGACCTGCCCCTTGGGTACCGCGCCCCGCTGAGCGCGGGGACTTCGGGACCTGACCTCGACTCTCACAGCCTGGGCCTCCGTCTCAGCAAGCGCCCTCGAGAGCCAGGGAACTCTTTCCAGAAACCATCACCCAAAATATTTCCGTGCCCGAGTATTTTAAAGACAAGAGCGTTGCTTTTCCCACGCACAAACGCGTCCTGCGTGACCCCGGTGACCAGTTCCCATGAACGTGTTTCTTTTGGCCCAAGAGGTCTTGCACGGTCCTGGTCCCGGTCCCGGGTCGCAGCTGTGATGCAGCATGGAGGGGACCGTCCAGGCAGCATCAGCTCTGGGCAGGGGGATGTTGTCCCAGTGTGGCCTGGTCCCTGGGGCTGGGGGGAGTGTCGCTGCCCTGTGCCTCATCCCCACGAGGGCTTTCCCTGCAGCCCTGCTCCTGCCTGCTCCTGAGGCCGCCCCACAGTGCCTGGGCAGGGGCAGACCCTGCTGCGTTCAGCTGCAGCCCCTGCGCTGGCTGGGCAGGTGGGTCTCTCCTCTCATAGCCACATCTGCTTTGCTGCCGTCCCTCCCCTGCCCTGAGCTGCCTCCCCTGCAAGTCTCCCTCCAACCCAGTTCCCCACGCCCCGGGATGGGGCTGCAGTCAGGGCCGTTTGCTGGGCAGCTGCTGGAGCTGGGAACAGGCCTGTTTGATGTGCGCAAGGGAGGACAACATGGGCCAGTGCCCACCAACACACTATCAGCCTCCCTTGCTAAGGCATCGCAGGTGCTTCGGCTGAGCCCTTGGAGCAAAAGAAAAAAACCAGTGAGGTCATGGTTGGGGGGGAAGCTGCAGGGCTGAGGCCAGAGCAAGCCCTGGGAGCTGCAGAAGGGGCTCCAGGCTCACTGCCTCCCAAGCAGGGTCCAGTCTGTGGCTGTGCTGGAGGGGACGGTCAGGGTCAGGGGGAAGCAGGAGGACTCAGGAGCTGCGGAGATGAGGCCTCCTGAGGTCCCTTCCAACCCTCTTTGTCTCCGATTCTGCCTGGTTTTAAACTAGCACGGCTGACTGTATCCCTGCACTCGGGGCAGACATGCAGGGAAGTGCTGGATGCGCTCTCGAGACCGAGGAAGGTGAACTGTGTTTATGAATCTTAGTAAGAGACTTGTGCGACTCCGAGGACCATGGGACGAGTTCAACCGCAACTTGGGATCAGAACTTGCCCTATTTGTTGTGTTGATGTGTGCAGGAGCATGCCTCCACATGGGTCTTTAGATAGATACATATCTATATCTATCTATATATCTATATCTATCTATACATCTATCTATTCTATATCTATCTATCTAGATTTATATATATATATATGTACACAGATATATCAATATGAACAATTTGCTGTGATGGAGTGCCTCCTCCCCGCAATGCCCAGGTGCTGGCCAGGAGCTGGGGAGGGACATCAGGCTACCTCTGACGTCACGGGAGAGCAGCCTGCGTCACAGCCAGAGGAAGCAGGCAGCAGCTGCTCTGGGTGGCGGGAACTTGGACTGCAGCTCCCAGACCACCCCCTGCCCCCCCCCCACCGGCAAAGGAAGAGGAGGCTCCAGGATGGAGGAAGGGGAGGAGAGAGCAGCGTACAGGGAGCCAGGCCAGCCCTGCACAGAGCAGCGGGGGACTAAGGGTCGGGAGTGAGGGGCACTGGCAGGGTTAGCAGGGCCTTGCAGGTCAGGGTGACGGGCACCAGCAAAGTGGGGGGGCTTTGGGTCTGGAGTGAGGGGCACCAGGTTGTCAGGGGCTGCAGGTCAGGAGTGAGGGGTACCTGCAGCTTGCACCACATGGGGGTGTGGGGCCTTGGGGGGCAATCCAGCATCTGTCCACGTGGCCCCTCAGTGTGGGTGGGGAGGGGGTGCTGCCGCTGCTTGAGGTGCTGTTGGTGCGTGTCAGGGTTCATGTTCCTGGCTCTCCCATCACACGGTAAACCTCTCTTTTCTTCTTCCTACAGGCAGCCGGGAGCCTGGACACTTCCCAAAGGCCCCATGTGAGCGGTGGGAAAGCGAGAGCGCAGGCCCGGGCTGGGGGGAGGCAGAGAAGACGACCAGGTAACGTGCCAGGGGCCTGGGCAGAGGTACCGAATGGTCTGGATGCTGGTGCCTGCCTGGCTGTTCAGCCCCGGAGCAAGTGGTGGGGTCTCTGGCTGCTAGTCTGCAGGTTGGCAGTACCTCGGTCTCTGACGCTGGGCAGCTCCTGCATGGCAGCAGCACTCAGTGGGAAGATCTTTTATTGCTATCATGTTACTTGAAAACCTGGGATCGGGGAGCCACCGAGTTATTGAGAGAGAGCAGGAGCCTTCTCTGCACTCGTGTAGGTTTGTCCATACCTAGAAATATGCCGGTTGCCTTGCCAGCAAGTCTTGCTGCATGCTGCGTTGATCAGACAACCCAGGGTCTCACTGGGACATTCAGAGACATTGTGCAGGAGCACAGCAGTCTAGTAGCTGAGCTGTCCAGTGTCCACTGAGTATTTGTTTCCAAACTTTTTTATGCATTTTGTTACTTGTAGGGGTGCACCGATATATCGCTTGGCCACCGGTTCGGCACCAATAAAAGGAGAAATGACATTATTGGCTTTCGGCTTTTTTTGGTTGCTGTAGCTGATAATTACTGCCATGTGCCTAGAGCGTCATGGTGAAGGTAGCTGGTCTGTACACCCTGCTGTCAGCTGGATCCTGCAGGAGACTACAGGTCCTGGTGAGCAGCGGGAGGGGTGGGGGTCACAGGGCAACACGCTCAGCAACAAAGGAGCTGGTACTGGCTCCAGCTGCTGCTGCCACTGCCATGGCCATGGCATTGCCCCACGCGCAGCAGGGGCCTGCACGCTGGGGCTGCCATGGAGATGTTGGGCTCTGCGCGGGTGGGGTAATGCACAGCGTGAGGGACATCCCACTCCGCTGAGCACTGGGCACCTTTGCAAAAGCAACTTGCGTGGGAATAAGGCAGTTGCCGCCTTCCTCATCGAAGGCCAGAGAAGGTAGGAGGTGTGTGCACATGTATTATAAATGCAAAACAAACACAGACATTTTTTGTTTCTGTCAGGAGTTTAAAATGCCTTGCACTGTTACTAAATATTGGTCATCAGATTGGCATCAGCTGATATGCTTGGTTAATCATTGGTTATCGGTATCAGCCAAGACAGTTTTTATTGGTGCACTTGCATATTCATCATTTTCCACAGGACAACTGCTGCTGCAACTGGCCATTTACAGGTTACTTGTGTAACCGTTTTCACCATTGGGTATGTTTCTAAAACCCTGTCTGCAGAGGCGCACCCAGATTGGTGGGCTTTCCTTATCGTGCTTCTTTCTCTCTCTGTGTATCATCTTCTCGCTGTCCTTGGCAGCATTTCCACTTGGACAAAACTTGCAGTGGCTTTGCTCAGCTTAAACCAGCTAGTAGCTTTTAGGAAGCTGAGTGGCTATGTAAGGCCTTGCAGAAGCAGACGCTGGCAGTATTTTTGGTTACGCTAAGCCCTACTGTGATCGTTATCAATGTTTGTGCCCCAGTCACTCATCTGGCATGCCCACTGTGAGTGCTATGTGCCCCAGAGTGGGCTGGTGCAGCTGTCCAGGCAATGGGCTTTTCTAGTGACTTTAATTTATTAGTTAATCCCAGGCCTCTGTCCTGCTGCAGATTGCCCCGACGCAGAGGAGACCTGGGACCAATGAAAGCTCCTGCGGCTGTTTCCACAGATGAGGCCCTTCGCTAGGGGCAGGTAAGAGGGAGGTGGTTCTACCCTTTCCAGCAGCAGAAGGCACGGCTCATGAGTTAAAAAACCCCCTGTCTGCTCAAGTGTTTTGTGGGGGACCGATTCAGCACGTTGCCTGTCCTCCTGCATCCCGCTAGAAGCTGCCCTCAGCCCCTGGAGAAAGTGGTCCTGTTTCTTCCCTCCTCCTCCTCTACAGTGTGGATCCAGGTGCAGCGCCAGGGTCACTGTTATGTCTCCCCCCAGGGCATGATGTCTCTGG